TTCAGAGAACAATTTTTAAAATCAATACTAGCTTTGCTTTAATTATTTGATCTTTATTATTTTCATTAAGCTAGGGTTTACATTGAGTTTATGATTGATTCTCTCATTGCTTACACACACAACCATTGAGCATATTATATTTTCATACTTAGTATAATTTGGGTTGTGGAAAGTTATAACAATTAAGAGTGAGCCTACATTATGTTCTCATCTATTGTAGAGAACAATTTATTTGTATTGTGAGCCTAATTATGAGTTACACTTTGTATTACACTAGTACACCGAGAGGAGTGTGTGGTAAGAGATGTTGGCCTTCTTGTTTTGATGATGTTTAACAAACAATTTACCACTAATGTTGTTTGTCTAGTATTTGTGTTTTCCTATGTATTGTAGACAAACAACGTAGTTGGAGGATGGATGGATTGCGCCATAATGATCATATCAAATGGAGGTTGGTGGAATGTCGGTGAAGCCTTGCAATTCAAAGTTAAAGATCAAGTTCAAGCTTCATCCGCATGTGTACCAAGTCGAGCTTATTGAAGATCAAGATTGCTTGGGTAAATTAGTTTAGGGCTTATATTATGTGTGTTAATACTTCAAGCTCAATATCACACACACACACACGTTTGGTTTGGTTTATCGTCGTTTTGGATTATAGACTTAACGACATTATTTTATATCTTTTATCAAGTTTATAAATCTATTGGAAAGTTTTTAAAACTTTGTTTAAACTCATTTTGTCAAGATCAAGCTTTTACAAGTCTATACTTATGTGATTTTGTAAAATAATGAGATTCCACAATTGGGAAATGCAAATTGGAAAATTCTTGTTGTAACATGTTCACTTACATGTTTATATACTTTTTCCAAAGTTTCATAATTTTTGGACTTCATTTGTTATTTTTAACATATTTTTAAAAGTCTCAAAAACATGTTTTGAGTGTGTCAGTTTTCGGTCGACCGAACCGGTCGACCGAACCTGAGTTCTCGTGTTCACTGGGCGACAGAGAGTTCGTCAGTCAACCGCCACGGTCGACCGAGAGCTTCCTTCGGTCGACCGCACCGGTCGGCCGGATAAGTCAGCTGGTGTTTTTCTCGTGTTTGACCTGGATAGCGGTCGACCGAAATTTCTGTCGGTCGACCGATCGTTTCTGTCGGTCGACTGCGAATTTCTTCGGTCGAACGCCGCTCATTCTGACTGCTTCCAATGGCTATTTTTGTTACCGTTGCTGGGGTGTTTTTGGTCTTTTGTTTTGGGAGTTTTGGCTGAGTTTTGAGAGGGTATAAATACCCAATTGCTTATCTCTTTTCAGGTGATTAAGAAGAGTTTTAAACAAAGTTTTTAAACAAGGGTTTAGGGTTTTACTGTTTGTTTAAAAGATTGGGTTTCTATTTACAAAGGAAAAAGTTTTTACTGCATATTGAGGGATTCATTCTCAATCCTCTTCATCCTCTTCTTTGTGTTTATAGAGAAGTTTTCTAACTCTTTTCTCTAGCAATTTCGTTATTGATTTTCATATTCTTACTATTGCTAGTTTGCTATTTGAGTTAGATTTTATTTTACTCATTGTTACATACACCCACTTTGAGCTTATTGTATCTTTCATACATAGTATAGTTGGGTGGTGAGAGATTGTAACTTTGAGTTGTGCTTAATTAAGTTCTCATCTATAGTTGAGAACAATCATTTGTTATATTGTGCTTATTGAGAGATTCACTTTGTAATATAATTGTACACCGAGTGAGGAGTGTGTGGTGAGAGTCGGGGATCGTCCCAAGAGGAGTGGCGTCGGTTGACGTGCCTAGGGAGAGGTTGTAACCGAGCACTTGAGGGAGACACGGCTAGGTCCAACACTTAGTGGGTGTAGAGTGTGATTGCAAGAGTGTGAGTTGTAGAGTTTTCGGTTAGCTAGAAAACCGAGTGTGTAGAAGAAGTTCCGGCTTCCAAACCGGATTGTGTTAGTGGATTTCTCCCCGGGAGTGGGGAGCGGAGACGTAGGACTGAAGGTCCGAACTCCGTGATCATATTGCTTGTTTGAGTTTGTCTTTGGCATAGTTGTTTTTGCATTTATCTTATATCGCCAATCGTGCATTACTCATCTTTTTTATGATCCACTATCTAGTTTATATTGTTTACCCTTGTGTTAGTTTATATATCTTTGCATATATATTTTGCTATATATCTCTTTGTTAGGATAACTTATTAATTAGTTTTAATTAGCATTTAATCGGATTAGATTAGCATAAGACCCTAATCACCCCCCCCCCACGGAGTCGCTTTCAAGAGGAGTGGCGTCGGTTGACGAACCTAGGAAGAGGTTGTATCCGAGCACTTGAGGAAGGACACGGGCTAGAGACTAATACTTAGAGGGTGTGGAGTGTAGTTACATTGTGAGATTGTTAACGTTAATTGATGAGCGATAAAAACCGATATTATGTGGTGTAAACGTTATTCGGGTGAGCGTAGAAAACCCGGTTGTGATAGTGTGAGATTGTAGAATTTTCGGTTAGCTAAAAAATCGAGTGTGAGGTGTAAACGTTATTCGGGTGAGCGTAGAAAACCCGGTTGTGATAGTAGAGATCTCCTCGAGATGAGGAGCGGAGACGTAAGTCGTGGGGACCGAACTCCGAGAACATATCGTGTGTTTGAGTTTGCATTGGCGCACTTACTCTTGTGTTTATATTTTTTATTGCCATTGTCCATTGCTCATTATTTATATCATTCATTATCTTGGTTATTTTGTTTACCCTTGTGTATATCACTTATCCTAGCTCACATATCTTGTTGTATTTCATAATTGCTAAGATAACTTGTTCATTAGTTTTAATTGGCACAAAATCGGATTAGATTAGCATAATAGATTAGCATAAGACCCTAATCACCCCCCTAGGGTCTAACACCTGCTGCACAAAAATATCTTGAATCGTGCACTGTCATATTGCAAAATTTGTCTTGCCATTGAATAGCAAAATATCAAACTTCGGACCTGAAGAAGTCATCATCCTCTAACCGCAATCAAAATTCAAATCAGTCATTATAGAGATTTAATTTGATAAAACTAACATCAAAAACAAACTCAGCATGTCGAAAAACCCTAGGAACGACTCTTGGATCACCAAAATCCGCCTCTAAATCCTCGATCAGAAGACAAATCAACCTCAATCGTCGAATCTGTGTGAACAGTATCCGCTACAGTATTCCCGCTACGGTGTCATCACTAGAGTAACGTTTTTTCTCGATGTCGACCACCGCACTTCGACCGCTGATGCCTTCACGAATCGCGCACCGATCAAACCTCTACGAACAGTCGAACCCCACTCTGATACCACTTGTAGGGATTTTTTAGATCTCGTAAAAACCCCGAAAAAACCACCAAACGCAGCAAATAAAATCACACAAGATTTAACGTAGAAAACCCTCAACAAGAAAAAACCACAGGATCAAAATCAATCCATTATCACCTCCAAATTATAATTTTTTGCACGGACAAAGACCGCCAAACCCCCCCTCTGTCTCTCTCTCTTTCTCTCTACACTTCTTCTTCTTAGTTTTTCCTCTAACAGTAGAAGGACATATATAGGAAAACCAAAACACTATCTCTAGCCTAACTTCCTAATTAGAATAAGATTCAAACTCCTAATCATGATAGAACCCAACTATCTCTAGCCTAACTTCCTAATTAGAATAAGATTCAAACTCCTAATCATGATAGAACCCAAACTCCTAATCATGATAGATAATTAGAATAAGATTCAAACTCCTAATCATGATAGAACCCAAACTCCTAATCATGATAGATCTCTAACCCTATCTAATTCTCATGAAGGTCTACAAAGAATTAAAAACACTATACTAACTTGGAGTTTGAGTTGATACCCAACATATAACCCTCCTTATTACACTCATTCATAGTTTGCACTCAAAGGAAAAGTCCTAACCATCCACTAGATAATGTATTGTTATAATTAAGCAATGTTCTCTTCACTATTTTTTTGATAGTGAGGAGGATTCTAATCTGTCATAGAAAACTATGTTGTTATGAGTTCACCCTCGTTTAGTCGTAGTTTAAATGAGAAAATTTGCCTAAATCATGTTATTGCATTGCAGAGCATCTTGTGTCGTTGCAATAGTGCATACCCAAGTTTATTGTGTGCGGTTCTGACTACACCAAGGAACTCTAAATTTGATGTTGCGACAATATAGTAGGATGCAAAAACATGTCAGTGCAATTACACTGTATTGAATATGTCTTTACATTTTGGTGACCGGAAATCAATAAAAATGAATAAGTTAAAACAATATATACTATTTTTAAGGATTTGATGGTTATGATGTGGCCACTCATTTATCAAAATGATCTACTAAGAGATAGAAGTGACAAGATACATCTCATTAATGTGACATGAATTTTAGCACATGATTATCTCTTGATAACTTATTTAGCAAAATGAGTTATTAAATTATACTCATTTGTAAATCATATTTGCATAACATAAATTTAGAAAACAAAAAGCTAAAGAGATGGTTGATGTGACTTTATATCTTATTTGGTTATCATGAAAAATAGTGGAAAAACAAATATTTAAAAGTGAAATAATAAGAAACGAGAGTAGGGTTTTATTTTTTTTATTTTTTTTATCTTCTTTTCATTAAAATTTCTACTTTCTTGAAATTTAGAAAAAGTCAAAAGGCTTACAATGGTGATGTGATGCTCTCTCCCTTCTAATTATTTTCATTCAATTTTCAGTTATGAGAAAACTAGAAAGCAAAATCATTTTACAATATTATTTATTTTTCATTTACTTTTTGTCTACCAAACACGGAATAGTTGTCGAATTCATAGTAGGTGACTCACCATAAGTAGTAACCAAAGGTGAGGCATCAGTTAATAGTGGTTTCGGGCGCGGATCCTTCACCATAAGTAGTAACCAAACCCGTAAAATCCGATCTTAGTCAGTCCTAACTGAAACACGAAATAGATGGGTCCATCTCTCCAAGTTTGAAGTTTCTTCTGCATTGGAAGGAGGCGAAGAAAATTTCAAAGACGATGAGAATGTGCGATGGTACGTTGATCCTACGAGCCATCATAGTGCTATCGTGCTCAGCATGGGCTGGCGCCGTGTCGATGCACATGCCTGTGACGGGAACCAAGTGCGTGTCCGAGGAGATACAGGCCAACGTTGTGGTCCTCACCGACTACTCAGCCGCGTACGAGGACGATCAACAAGAAAGCACAGCCTCCGTTTCTTGTAAGGTGCATAACTATCATATTCATCCACTTTAAGTATAATTCAATGCGAGCTAGTAATCATTTGTATATGAAAACGATTTGAATTTTACAACACGTCTCCTTAGCGTTTCTTGTTCTGTTCACCTTTCTATTCATGAATAGATGTTGATTTCTTATCGATCTTCTTTGGTTAATAACTTGGGAGACATTTTCGTTTTCAAAATTTTCCCCTTATTTGGAAAAGTAAATATTGTTATCAAAATTATTAAATTAAACTTATAGCATGCAAATAGAATTTCGAAAAATAAATTAAACAGAAAAATCTGCCCTGATCGGGAAGCAGCCGTGCAAGCATTGCCCTAAAAGATTTAGGATCCGCCTATCGCTCTGGCGCAGATGATACCCTTTCCCGTGACAGTAAAAACCTGCGGAATCAACCGGCCTCTGTACTCAGGCGAGAGTAAAGAGCTTTTTCTCAAATGAAGATGGTTGTCCAAAGTAAAAGTAAAAAAGTTGGATGAAAATAATTGCTTTGAAGAACAAAGGAGAGAAGAGAAGAACTTTCGTTTTGTTTCTGTGTTTTTACGAGCTCACCAAACGGCTGTATATATAGGGTTGGAAACCCTTTAGCCGTTGAAAATCTTCGCGTTACGTTCGCCAAATTCACGCGTAACATTTGCCAAAATCTCGCAGCCGTTACGCTCGTTTTCCACGTGAAAAATAAAAGAAACATGTAAAATGAAGTTTGAAAAAATAAAAACGCGTGCGCATGCGGCGCGGCGTGTCATGCGCGCGCGTGTGTGATATACAAATCCCAAACAATAGAAAGCTCAAAACACCCCCTTCTTTGGAATCCACAAAGCCTAAAGGAAAGAGAGCTAATTTAAACAACCAACTATTCATAACACTAGGCAATGTGGGACTATTCATTGAATGCAAAATTGTCTTTTCTTCCCCAACATAAAAATGCAATATTTGACTAAAAAATTCAAAATCAATAAATCATAAAACAAATATAGTTCGGGCAACCTTTCGTATCGTAAATTCAGGAGATGTAGCTTTCGGCTTTGAATATTTTCTTAGTGGGTTCATCGTAACCTGAGAGACATAATGAACTAGGTCTTGAATTAGGCCCCTTATACCATGTATTGATGAAAACACACACAATACGTCTACATCTATTGAGCAAAGCGGGTTGTGCGTTAAAGACTATGCTCATAATAACCGACTCATGAGAGTTTCTAGGAATTAGCCCTGCCCTCCCCCCTCCACCGCGGCCATCACAGTTCCTCTCACGTAGGTAAGTCCTCCAAGGATACTACAGCTGGATATCATACGCTCCATAATACATGTGTTAGACTTATTAAGAGTAAAACTCAACCTACCAGCTGTATCATAAGAGCATCGTCACCATAGAAAAGGGGTAGTAGCAGATGCTACTATAATGATATATGAATATATCTGGGTCGATGCTCCACACAAGTGTCACTAGTCCAGTTTGTTCCTACCACATTAAACCTACATTAGGACTGTGTCTCCAACTAAAGGTTGGGTTCCTGCTGGTAGTGACGTCATCTATGGGCTTAACCCCATCTCCCTCGATGAATCCAAAACCACACTCTTGGATACACCCTTAGTCAAAGGGTCAGCAAGATTCTTTTCAGACTTTACAAAATCTAGAATCAAAACTTTACTTAGCAGGCGTTATACAGATTTATATCTTATTTGAATATGTCTTTTAAGTTTTTTATTAAGATGCACTTGCTTTAGAAGCTATATGGTGGATCTAGAATCAGAGTGAATAGAAATTGGAGGAGAGGGTTTAGGAACCAAAAGAAGTTCAGAGAGTAGATCTTTAACCATTCTGTTTCTGTGCAAGTGGTATTAAGAGCAAACAATTTAGACTCCATGGTGTTCCTGGCAATTACTGTTTGCTTATAGGATTTTCAGGATACAGCTACACCACCAAAAAGAAAATATATCCAGATGTAGATTTTACACTGTTGGAATACATGACCCAGTTGGCGTCACTATATCCTTCTATTGCATCAGGGTACCCAGTGTAAGTCAAGCAATAGTCAACTATACCTTTCAAGTATTTAAATACTCTCTCTAAGGCAATCCAGTGATTTTTTTTCTAGGGTTGCTGGTATACCAACTCAGTCTGGTTGGATATGTACAAGAGATATCCAATCAGCTGAGAATACTTCAGCTAGGAGACAGGTTCATATTCATTCTTCTTCAAAGATATAGAAGAGTCATAAGGTGTAGAGAAAGGTTTAGAGTTGTGAAAATTGAATTTGACCAGCATTTTCTATTATGAGAAAGACTCAAAGATATTCCTCTAGTGTCTTTAGAGATTTTTATTCCAAGTATCATGTTAGCAAGACCTAAGTCTTTCATGTCAAAGTTCTTGGAGAGATAATCCTTAACTTTTAAGATTTATTCAAGAGTTGTTCCAAAGATAAGGATATCATCAACATAGAGACAGAGGATGACATAGTCAATGTTTATCACTTTAGAATAGACACACCTATCGTGTTCATTCACGGAGAAGTCATATTGTGCAATGACTTCGTTAAATTTTTGGTGTCATTGTTTAGGAGCTTGTTTTAGACCATACAGAGATTTAACAAATTTGCAGACTTTATCTTCCTAACCTTTGGCAATGAAGCCTTCGGGTTGGTTCATATAGATTTCTTCATCTAAATCACCATTTAAAAAAGCACTCTTGATATCCATCTGATGTATGGTTAGATTGTGAATAGCAGCAAAGACTAATAATACTCGGATAATTGAGATTCGGCCTACAGGAGAATATGTATCAAAGTAATCGATGCCCTTTTTGCTGAGTATGGCATTTAGCTACTAATCTAGCTTTATATTTATCAATGAAACCATCAGGTCTAAGTTTCTTCTTGAATATCAACTTACAACCGACAAGTTTACAACTTGGGGGTATATCGGTGAGTATCCAAGTATGGTTTTTCATTATTGATTTTATTTTATTATCAATGGTTTCTTTCTAGAAAGGACATTCAGGAGAATCCATTGCTTCCTTAAAGGAGCTTGGATCGCCTTCAACAATAAGGTAAAGAAGTCTTCTCCAAAATCCTTTTAAATTTTACCTATTTTACTTCTTCGAGGTTCAAAATCTAGAGGTTGAGAAGAGCTGAAAGATGGTAGATAAGAAGGAAGAGATGAACTAGGATTTTCTGAGATTTTGGATTTGAAAGGAAATATGTTTTCAAAATAGACTACATCTCTTGCTTTAGTATTATTGGATATGTCACTGATTTCATAGTTAATGACTAGAAATCTACTATATAGTGCATATCCAATAAATACAGCATCAACAGTCTTAGATTTAATTTTTCTCTTCTTAGGTTTTGGAATAGCTACCTTAGCCAAGCAACCCCAAACCCAAAAAAAATTCAACCTAGGAGTTCTCTCCCTTCCAATATTCATAAGGAGTTATATCAGAAGATTTGTGGGGAATCCTATTGAGAATGAAGCAGACAGAAAGAAGAGCTTCACCCCAGTGGTTTTTAGGTGCTTTTGAATTGAGTAACATATAGTTCACCATGTCCATAAGGGTCATGTTCTTTCGTTCAACTACCTCGTTAGACTATGATATATAGGGAGCAGTTACCTCATGAATAATATCATGCTCTTGACAATATTCAGTCATTTTATTTGAGGTGTACTCCCCCACATCAAATCTTAAAATCTTGATCTTCTTTTTAAGTTGGTTCTATGATTCAGCTTTATACACCTTAAACCTATCTAGAACATCATCCTTAGTTCTGAGAAGATAGGTGTAATAATATTGAGAGTGCGTGTCTATAAAACTCACAAAATATCTCCTACCCCCTCAGGTGAACTCGGTTCGAGTCACACACGTCACTATGAATTAATTTGAGGGGTTCGGAGTTTCTAGTTATAGGCTTGAAGGGTTTTTTAGTGTGTTTCCCTTGGACACAAATATCACACTTAGATGAGAGATCAGGAGATGATTTAGGAATAAGATTCAATTAACCATTCTCTACAAATTTTGGAAATTTACATGTTCGAGTCGTCCATGCTAAACATCACAAGATTCAACAATTTGTGCACTAGGAGATTCAAGAATTTCATTAGAACTAGAATTGATTACATTGAGTTTGAAAAGGTCATTACAAATAAAATATTTTCTTATGCATACATTATTCTTTGTAATCACAAATTTATTGGATTTCTTTACAATCCCGAATTCAGCTCTAAGGATAAGAGATTCACTGATCAAGTTGTGACGAAGAGAAGGAACATGATGAAGGCCTTGTATATTTAGAGCTTTCCTAGAAGTCATGGTGAGCTCTACGCATCCACTTCCAATTATTTGTTTGGTGGAGTCATCTGCTAAGCTTATTCTTCCTCCACGTGATTCCTGGTAAGTTAAAAATCAAGAGTGATCATCGCAAACATGAATATTAGCTCCAGAATTCAAGTACCAACCAGTGGAAGAATTAAGAGAATTTACAAGATAGGAAGAAGAGGCTAACCTGAAGGAATTTGGATTTTCTTCAATCATGTTTACTTTATTGGATCCATTTCCTTTTGGAGCAGGTTTTGTCGGTTCCTTCTTCCGATAGAAGCAGTTGAGAGCCAAGTGGCTAGTTACCACAGACATAGCAGAACTTTCCATCAGACTTATGGTTGGAAGAATTGGGATTTGATTTGGTGGATGCATGATTTGTTAAAGGATTGTTGGTTTTTCTTGAATTTCTTCTCTTTTGGTTAGTAATTCTTAGATTTAGACTTGTCCTCTACCAAGTTCACTTTAGCTTCCATTTCGGTCTTGGTTTTGGAATTTTGTCTATGCTGGTCTTCGATACGAATAGCCTTGAGGGCTTCAGTTAATGTTAGATCTCCTTATTTGTGTCGGAGATCTCCAGCAAATCTAGACCGGGAGGGAAGGAGTTTGTCAATCAAACAGGAAACTTTAATGTCATCAGTAAAGGAGTTTCCCTTTGATTGGAGGTGACGAAGGAAATCTTGGAATTCATGAATTTATTCATTTATAGGTTTGTCATCAAGCATCATGAACTTATTGAAGGAAGATGAGGTGAAACGCAGAATTCAGACATCATCAAAGCCATATTCTATTTCAAGAGCATTCCATAGGTCTTTAGCACTTTTAAACTCATAATATATGTCATAAAGGTTGTCCGCAAGTGCATTAAGAATCCTATGGTAACAATGATAGTTTATTTCTTCTGATTTTATATGACTAGAGAAGGAACTAGCACCAGAAGCAAAAGTGAAAGGTGTAGGTTGTTCCGGATCAGGAGAGTTGGAGTTTATAAGTAGAGATCCAAAAGATGAAGATTCAGAAGTGTCAATAACAGATAAGAGACCTAGAGTAATAAACCAGTATCTCATCTGATTAGCCCACCGTTTGTAGTTAACACCGGTAAACTTCTCAGGTTTGACACTTTTGGAATGATCTGTGTGAGTCATAAGTCCGATTTAAGTTAACTAGTCTAGGTATTTTAAAATCTGAAGGAATAAAAGGTTTTGTCAATACCACTCGACTAGTTACTTAGGAGAGTATGACTTTAAATGATGTATTTTGATCAATAAATATGAACAATTAATTACACAGAATTAAAATTATGAACAATGTAAGGAGAATAATATACTTCTAAAACAGTAAATTACAAGAATAATTTAAGCAATAAATCTTTTTCTTCGAATTAATTTTCTGACAGAATAATTTTTTTTTTTTGGCTAATGTAAGTAATTAATTATAGGAATTAACAGGAACTGAAAGAAAATAATTATAAATTTATTTTGGATTTTAAAAATCAACAGCTATAAAATCAATCTTCTAGATTGTTATCAAAATTATTAAATTAAACTTATAGCATACAAATAGAAATCTGAAAAATAAATTAAACAGAACAATCTGGCCTGATCGGGAAGAAGTCGTGCAAGCACTGCCCTAGAAAATTAAGGACTCGCATATCGCTCTGACGTAGATGATCCCCTCTCCCCTAGCGGTAAAAACCACTGGAATCAGCCGGCCTCAGTACTCGGACGAGAGTAAAGAGATTTTTCTCAGATGAAGACGGTTGCCCAAAGTAAAAGCAAAAAAGTTGGATGAAAATAATAGCTTTGAAGAATAGAGGAGAGAAGAGAAGAACTTTCATTTCATTTCATTTCTGTGTTTTTCCGAGCTCACTAAACGGCTGTATATGTAGAGTTGCAAACGCTTTAGCCGTTGAAAATCTTTGCGTAATGTTCGCCAAATTCATGTGTAACATTCGCCAAAATCTCGCAGCCGTTACGCTCGTTTTCCACGTGAAAAATAAAAGAAACGTGTAAAATGAAGTTTGAAAAAACAAAAACGCGTGGGCGTGCGGCGTGCACGCGCATGTGTGATATGCAAAGCCCAAACAATAGAAAACTCAAAACACCCCCTTCTTTGGAATCCTCAAAACTCAAAGGAAAGAGAGCTAATTTAAACAACCAACTATTCATAACACTAGGCAATGTGAGACTATTCATTGAAGGCAAAATTGTCTTTTCTCCCCCAACATAGCCACCATACATATATGAACGCAGTTTATGTAGATTTGGTTGTGGCAGATATTTACTGAATAGTATATATGTTTTTTGGCTTTTCTTATGAAGTATTGGTAAATTTGATGATCCAGAGTATAATATTCTCATTTAGCACGCTTTACCATGATATTCTTTCGAGATTCAACGGTGTGGTATACTCTTTATGGAGCCATGAAAAGAGATGCCGTGAGAGTAGTCTTTATTGTAGTTCTTGAAAATTATGCTTCTGCCCTTGTTATCTCAGGTGACATCACCTTATGGAAACACACTTCATCATCAAAAAAATATTACAAAAGGTCAGTTTGCATTCACAACTAATGAGTCCGGAAACTACCTAGTATGTTTCTCACTAGACAGTGAGAAAAGAGATGTTGTAGCAAGTGTAAGCGTCAATTGGAGGATCGGAATAGCAGCTAAGGACTGGGATTCTATCGCTAAGAAGGAAAAAATTGAGGTTAGTCATACTTATATTATCCTTCTCCGTTTTATTTAGGGTTAATTACGGATAGACACTTTGTAGTATTGTTATTCTGGACTTGCTACTCTAATTTTTTTTAGTTCCAGATGGATGCCCTCACTGAAAATGTTTGACTCTTCCACCCTCTTTGAGGAAGGAAAACTATTTCCTACATAAAGATCCTTTGAGGTTAAAGGAGGCGGAAAACCTTTTTTCTCAAAGGCCTATCTGCAACAACAAAACTAGAGGGGTAGTAAGTTCAAAATATCGATATACAGGAGGGTCTACTGCAATGCATCCTTTTATTTAGGGTATTTGTAGGTAAAGATGTGGCTACTTAATTAGCACATACACACCCCTTGATCCTACAAGTGTTTTTTTTTTTAAGTGCCAGTGACAATGTGTTCGTCCCTTTAGTTCTCCAGCTACCATGAAAATCAAATCACATGGTCAACAAAGTTAAATATATTATCAATACCTTGTGAAATTTTAAAAAACAAACAAAAAGATAACATGGTCATGGTGGCGGGAAGTGCATGCGCTCAAAAAAAAAAACACCTTCAAAATAACCATTTTATCTAACCTCTGTATATGACTATGTTCATCTTCTTGCACTTTTTGATTTGCTAAGGGCATTGAACTTGAGCTAAGAAAGTTGGAGGGTGCGGTTGAAGCAATACATGAAAACTTGTTATATCTCAAGAGCAGGTACCTTAAATGTTAGTAAAGTTGAAATTTCTTATTACACTGGTAAAGATTTTTGTCAAATATATAAATGGTCTTTGTTATTGCAAACAGGGAAGTGGAGATGAGCCTTGTGAGTGAAAGGACGAACTATAGGATTGCATTGATGAGCATACTGTCACTCGGAATTTGCATCATAGTCTCTATTTTGCAGATGTGGCACCTAAAGGGTTTCTTTGAAAAGAGGAAACTCATTTAGCTGAAAAGTTACGCTATTCGATGCTGAAATATTCTCGCTATAACTGTTTTAGTTTGCTAAGTTTTACAAATATCTTTTTTGGTCATATGGTCATTTTTTGGAGCATCGTAGTGGTATTTTGAGACGGAATAGATAGAGGTGCACGAAGCAAAAAAAGATTTTTTTTTTTCTTGGCCTTGGTTGCTCTTATCTTGTATGTTATCATTTTTTCAGTTGCATATACATGCAATATATGTGATAATTTATTTTGCGTGAACTTAAAAAAAAACAAAAAAGAAAACTTTTATTATACGTATATGTGATCAGAAAGTCAGAGTAGTTTCATAAAAAGTGCAGGAACGTGTATAATTTGATTCATATGTAAGCACAAATAACCTACTATTACAAGGGGTTGTTTGGATCTTTTTTTGGTAAACCACTTGATAGTTACGGTAATACGAAAACCAATAGCCCAGCTAGATCTGCCAGCTACAATAATACTACCACAAAACAAAGCCTTTTGCTAGGAAATAGTTAGAGGCTGCTAGCTCAGATTTTTAACTGCCACATCAGTCCCCTATTTGTCCAAATAGACAAAGTAAAAACTATAATACTATCGTAGCCTGATAGCTGCAGTAGCTTTCAAGCAAAAAAAAACCCTCGACTAATCAAACCCTAAGAAACGATGGCTCCTATATTTGAAATAGCTTCGTGAAGTTCATTAAAGACATGTATTTGACATGCAATAACAGGTCGTCGTGCTTTTGGAGAAGTCGCGGTAGTATCTGTATCGATAACTGCTATTAGAATATTAGTTAGTTGACAAAAGTGGTCAGGATGGCCGACTTGTTCTAAGGCGCCAGTTTCAGATACCGGTCCGAAGGGGGGCAGGGATTTGAATACCATTCCTGACAAAATCTAAGTTTCATAAATATTTTCTTTCAGTATGCTGTAGGTGAATTTGGCAAATTTTATCATTACTATTTTGTTTATCGTTTCTGATATTATGTTAGCTACATAAACATGGATATGCATCCAACACATTACTGGATAGAAATAAACCTTTTCCTACTCTCTGATTTTGTAAGTCTAAGATTATAGTAGACATCAATTTAATTTCAGATTTGAGAGGACATTACGTACAGGTTCGTATATCATGAAGATGGAACTCTATTCAACCTCGATATCTTATAAGAACGCAAGCCCTGCTCAAGTTTATTAATGAGCTTCCACATTTCTCGTTGAATGCCTATTTTCACGAGCATATTTTGTATACCCATATCTTCAAAATGAAAGACAAGAACTTCAGAAGCAGTGGATTGCCCTCCATTTCTTGATTCCACTGAAAACAAAGTTTAAATAAATAGATTATTATTATTAAATTTAGATTTTCATTTAAATGGCATGTATCACAAAAGTTATTATAGACTGTGAGATCAGAGAAGTGAATGTTGAACCTGCCCTTATGCGCCAAGAGGAGTAGTAGGGATTCGCCCGTTTTGGACGTTGGCTCCTTGGAGTACCAGGAAACGGTAAGCTCTGCGAGAAGCATTGTCATAAATAAATAAAAAGATATTATAATTAATATGAAAAGAAAATAGATACTTTTTGTCGGCATTCAATTTTAAGATAATTTTAATCTTGAATAAGGCAGGTTTATCTATTCATAAACAAACACAATACTGCTATTAGGTTGATCGTCATACCTTTGACACGCAATAATATGTAGATCCTGATACCCACAAACGACGACCAATGATGTACTCTCGAGGACTACCGAAAACTGGAAACTGTCGTTGACAAAGCGAGGTCAATTGCAGAAAAATGTCCCAAGGTTTATGAGTGACAAAATCTTTTAAGTGACAATTTGACCTCTTCTCTATATGAAATTCTACAAAATTAACTTGGAGTTGAAAATTATGATTATAGAATATGACGGTTATATGTCCTGCATAACGTTGCATGTCCTATGTCCTACATAATGTTGTATGTCCAACATAATCATATATATGATTATCGTATTAAAAGTTAATGATTACATCCAAAATTAGATGACTACTGAACAACAAATTTAAAATAGGGGGAAGGAGTCATTTTCAAAACCACAAGGACTTCTGTCATTGTTACAAACCGTAGGGTTTTTCTCTTTTGTAATTTACCCATGAAATTAGCATCATACTGCTCCAAAAAGGTTCATCAGAAATCAGCCTATTTTAGTTTACCTTTCGGATCCAATGAAGAATCACAGTTCCAGTATCTGAATATTCCCGTAATTTTCTAAAGTAGACAAGCATATCATCCCATTTTGTCCTAAAGTCATCATCCCAGAAAAAATCTCTCAGCAATTCTGGTTCCATATTCTCAAATATGGCCAGGCTGCGATACTGAGTCGGACCAAACTGGCAACAAAAACAAAATGTCACAATTTTATTCACATGAATATCAAACAAAATAATACTATCATCATCTTGTTTTGAGCACATGAAGCATAATGACAAGGCCACTACGTTGAGGAGCATTCATACCTTGTGGAGAGCATAATCAATCTAAAAACTTAGGGTGTAAGACAGATTCTAATTTTCTCTTTTATATCATTATTCTAATTTTTTTCCAAGATGAGAGCTCCGGCTGATGGCCAATATCCCAGTAAACTTTTGTGAATCAACTGCACTTTTTGAGTGAAATAAGTCCTAGTTCATATTTATAGAAGTACAAGACCAGAATATAAAAGATTTTTACGTGGTAATAGCTCGATACCAGGAGGTATAAAAGAAGAAGAAAAAATTGCACTTTCCTACCAAAACGCATGAATCAAAATTTTGTAAATTTGACAGAACTATATCTTTTTGTTGGACTAACAAGTCACAAGTACAAAAACAACCATTAACCTCTGAATCACGGCGCCAGACTCTGAATGAGAGTGTAGAAGTAGAATTATCCATCATCAAGTTCCACGGTGATCCACCATCTTTCTCATTAATGTAAGCTAACAACATCTTCAGATCCTCCTCTGTGACTCCAACATGCTCTTTCTCAGTCTCTGATGAATCATCACTACAAAACGAAGAGTTTTAGTAAAATATAATAACTCCCAACTCTCATACCTCCAGAGTTTTGATACAGTGGAAGTAATTTAAGACAGTAATGTAGTTTTATAAAATTATAACTCTTAACATGAATAAACATCAACTTACAACATAATTGTCTTCAAGAAATTTAGAGCCTCTGAGATACATACCTTTGTTGTTTTGAAACATATCGCCATTTATAACGGTGAGGCATGCCAGCAGTCCAGATGAGGTTTATTCTCCAGCTAAACATAGAGTAAAGAAGAGACATGAGCCTTCTTGGCCCACAATGCCAGAAAAGGATCAGGCCCATGAAGGCAAGCGCAGTTCCCGCAGCTTCAATCTCCATAGATAAATGTCAGGCTAATGAACTAGGAAGAAGGAAGAGAAAACATATAGGGTAACACGAAACAAGGGGTTTCAAAAAGGACAAGAATACTTTAATTTTTTAACTTCAATTAATAACTCAGGGATTTTTAACTCAGGGATTTTCAAGAAAAAGAAGAATAATTTTACAATATATGCTATTGGATAGTTCATACACGAGGCAAATAATTTGTAAAATAATAAATTTCACATTGCATTATTGGCCTTTCCTTGCTCTAAACAACAGGAATCATCTTCACTTGCACATTTCAACTCCATGTTCCCCTAATACTAAAAATACACTAAACAAACAAGCACATCATGAGACTCAGTTTGCTGCCTCTACCTCTAACGGAACCATGATCGGCAAAGTACTATGTGTACTCGTCCCACTTCTAGTCTGTTCTGATAATGAGACCGAGGCCGATGCACCAGATCTCAAACCTAACTGCTGCAGCTGATGTACAACATGCGACATTCTCGGACGTACTGAAGGAACATGCTGTGTACAAGCATAGACAAGATCCACAACCTTTTGCATCACTCCGACCTCTGGAATCTCATTAATGAGCGGATCAAGAAGCTCAAGATACCTATGAGATTGAACCAGAGGCGTAGCCCACTCAAATATAGTCTGCCAACCAACAGACTCAACCGCCTGAGCTGGTCGACGACCACTGACTATTTCGAGAAGTAGCACACCAAAGCTGTAGACATCACTCTTTGTGGTCAGTTCGTTTCTGTATACAAATTCTGGAGCAAGATATCCGTAGGTTCCAGCCATTACGGTTCTTTCATGCATCACTTCCCATGGTACAAACTTGGAGAGGCCTACACCCATTAAATGTGCTCCGAAATCTTCGTCTATGAGTACGTTGCTTGCACGTATATCCCTGTGGACAACTTGAGGCTTCACCTTGTCATGCAGAAATCTGTGAGGTTTGACGAGCCCATCAAATAGGTGGCGAAAGTTAGTTGTGCAAAAATAATCTCTCTGATGAGAGAGGTTATAACTAAGTTGCAATCAAGCAGAATGCTGCAAAATGATTATTTGTATTGAGAATGGAAAAGCATCAGCATGAACAATGTGTTCACAAGGTAGAAACAGGTTAATATGACACTCATGATATTATAAGAATATTACATATTTTCTCGAGGGTAGATCAACCAGAACCAAATGATGAAAATAGCTGTCAAATGCAAATTTTGCTTTTCGTAGAAGAAACTATGATATCAGCCCTAATACATTGTCAAAAAACCTGAGAATAGAAGGGGAGGGCCCATAAAGAAATTGACACTTTCTATACTTGATCCTTAAGAAATCACTACACTGAGGAGCATAATATACATGTTTCAATAAATGCAGTAAAAGATTTAGTATGTACAGAAAACAAACCCAGGTAATACAGATTAATGTAATAACTAAAATTATATGTGGTTATAAAGAACAGGAACAAAGTACCACTAAACAAAACCTTTACAACGTTTACAATCTTTGCTTCATGTGAAAACAATAAACGTATAATTTCCAACATATTCGATTATCAGAAATGCTTGAGCTTAGAAAAATGGATAAAGCGGGGTGTGGTGCTACAAAAAAGGGGGGGGGGGGAATAAATGAGATAGTGGGATGAATTGATGCTATTAATTTAAATTATTTAAAGGACGGGAAAGAAAAAAGGAATAATAGAAGAGTTGAAGCGTTGAATTGAAATCAGGTACAGGTCAGTCCGTTCATTAATCACTTATTGATGGTCAAAATAAAACTGTAGGTTCTAGGTATGACCAAGTTTTTAAAACCACAATAAGATTTGACCAAGGTTCAACATGTAAAGCAGAAAACCGTAGAACTGAAGCATTGTCACACCACTGAACAAGTAGCAGACATTCACCAAGCCATTATCAGGTGAAACTTTCTTAAGGCTAAGAGACATGCTTGGCATAAAGACATTTTGATTTGAAGGGACGTGTTGGAATATTAAATTAAAATGTTAGAATAAATGAGGTTAATAGCATGAGTTTTAGAAGTGCAAGGGTGAATATTAAATTAAAATGTTAGAATAAATGAGGTTAATAGCATGAGTTTTAGAAGTGCAAGGGTCATAAGCTTAGAATGGAAAGAGACATAGGTTATGGAAGAATAAGAATAACTTACTCATTTATGATATTTATCTTTATGGTATTAAAATAGGAATTTAATTTGTGACTATTGGTATGCCTAGACGTTTTTGTTTTGAAGCCTATATAAAGGGCTATTGTAATCCTTGTTTGATATGAAGAAATATAAGTGAGTTCTTTGTCTTCATTTGAGAGAGTTCTAAGTTCGTAAATTTAAGAGTCATCAATTTTCGACGATATATCCCCAATATGGCTGATATAACAACTGATATATCCTTTTATATGGCTTATCACAAAAAAAATATACGACATTTGGCAATTTCTGGGAAAGATATAATAATTTTCCCATTATATCAAATGACATTTTAGCCTTAAAAAATCAGACGAAATGTTGCAATACTGATTTGTACTTTTATTTGTTTTACAAGGTTGATTAGTGATCATAAACACATATTATCAACGTTTTGTATGCTTATATTTTATTTAGTATGTTGAGATCGCATTTTAGTGCATTATATTATTTATGTAAACATTTGTTATAGCATTCCAATATTACCACATATCCCCGATATTTCCCCCATATCCATAATTTGATATGAATCTTGGCCATCTGATTTTTTCCCGATATCCAATATTTAAAAACCTTGGCGAAAGATGCTTCTATTGCAGATCATATAAACGAGTTCAGCACGATTACAACTGTGTTTGTTCGAGATCATGTTTGAAGATGAAATCCATTGATCTTATTGTCTTCCCTACCAGATAGTTGGGTCCTAAAGGTGACGGCGGTTAGCAATTCTCATGGGAAGAGGAAGTTGAAGCTTGATGATGTTCGAGATTTGATTCTCAGTGAGGATATTTGCAAGAGTTGGGGGAA